GAAGGGTCTAGGGCCGAAACGTCAGCCTTCCTGCTCCTCTGATGCTGCTTGGCCTGCTGTGTTCATCCAGCTCTACACCTTGTTATCTCAGATTCTCCAGCATCTGCAGTTCCTACTATCTCTCTAATCACTGAGCCACCGTGCCGCCCCTAAAAAAAAGAGGAACAGGAGAAGGCCATTTGGTCTATCAAGCCTGCTCCTCCCTTCAGTTAGATCATGGTCTATCATTGAGCTCATTGCCATTTCCCACATTACCCTTTGATGCCTTTCATGGACAGAAATCTATCAATATCTTTAACATGATTGAGCCTGCACAGCATTCTGCATGAGAGAATTCCAAAAATGACCACCCTGGGTTAAGAAATGCCTCCTAATCTCAGTCCTCAGTGGCCCACTTCTTATTCTGAGATTGTGTCACCTGATTTGAGAACAATTGTACAGCCAGGATAAGTCATTGTTCCTGCATCTTCCCTGTCAAGCCCTGCAAGATCATGGCTGTTTTGAGGTAGCCTTAACTCCACTTTTCCTTTCCACTGCCTCTTGTAACCCTCAACATCCTTGTCAATAAATAAACATTCACTCCCTCCAACACTGATGCTCAGTACTACTCATCCTCTACAAGATGCACTGCAAAAATTTACCAAGGCTCCTTCGGCAGCACCTTCCAGACCCACAACCACTTCCATCTAGAAGGATAAGGGCAGCAGATACATGAGGACACCACCACCTGCAAATTCTCCTCCAAGCCACTCACCATCCTGACTTGGAAATATATAGCCATTCCTTCTTGGATCAAAATCCTGGAACTTACCCATCCCCCCCAACTCTGCAGCCCCCAACTAAAGGCATTGTGTGACTATCTGCACCCAAACAGCTGCAGCGGTTCAAGAAGGTAGCTCACCACCACCTTCTCAAAGGCAAGCAGGGATGGGCAATAAATGCTGGCCCAGGCAGTGATGCCCACGTCCTGTGAGTAGATTAAAAAGAAAAGAACCTCCTCCTTATCTCTGGCTCAAACAAGAGTCACCTTATTCTGAAACTGTGGTGCGATGTGATTCTCGAATGAGAAATGTAGAATGTTTCTGTCACACGATGGGAAGATTTTGAAGAAACAAACGCAGTCGTTTGGAATGTACAGAGATACTGGGCCAGGAAGAGGAAACACTAACGTAGGCACATCTACCAATTAACTTCACTAATTATATTTTAAAAAATGATGACCAAAACAAGATGTCTGGTGTGAAGAATGCTGATTGAATGAACTTATCCAGGACTGACGTGATAGCAATTTGAAAGCACTTCAAACGAGCAATACAATATCAGACCATTGATCTCCATCCTAGTAAAGCAGCGTATAATTGGGTAATCCTTGAGCAAAGACATGGGAGTGCTGTTAATACACTAACTAGAGATTGTGGCCACTCATTTACACAAAGGTTTATGTGTCACATTGTAATATCTCACTTCCTTTCCCCTGTATAACGTACTGCGATGATTATGTGTGAATTTCTGTCTTACAGCTCCATCTAATAAACTCAAATATTATTTTCCCTAATAAAACAAATGCCACTGCATCAATCATTCAATCACGTGCCAGCATAGAAATAACAAGCTCAGATTCAAGAACACCTTCTTCCCCACTGTCATCAGACTTATGAACAGACCTCTCATATATTAGAGTTGATCTTTGTCTGCACCTTCTCTGTAGCTGTAACACTATCTTTTGCATTCTGTTCTATTACCCTGATGCCCTTATGTAAGGTATGATTTGTCTGGATAACACACAAAACAATACTTTTCGCTGTACTTCTGTTCGTGTGACAATAACAAATCAAATCAAATTAAAAATCAGGCAAGAGATCATTCTCAATCAGCTTCAATTAAATGAAGAAAAAGGGCAAACTAACTAAAATTCTACTCTGCAATCTTTTTCCCGTCAGCAATTATTCCCCCCTTGTCCCCTGCCACCACACACTGTTGACTCTCAAAATAAAAGTTGTTGAAAAACACTTAAAAATACAACTTTGATGATATTAGAACGGTGATGAAGTTTTCAATTGTGCTTTTTGAACACTGTTCAACTGGGGCCTTGGCATCTATCAGATGCTGGGCTTGTAGTTGAGGTGTTCCCCTTGTGTTAGCTGAAAGGAATCACCACCTGTATCTGCACTTGCAATTCTCAGAGTTTCCCATTTTCAAGGCTAACCAGTCCCATTCTGCACCTCGAAGGACAAGGACAGAACATACTGGGAACACCGCCAGCTGCAGGTTCCCCTCTGAGCCACTCGCCTTGGAAATATATAACAATTGGTTCTCACGGCCACCGTCACTGGAAGCTTATATTCCTGAATGATTCACTAAATTTAAATTCCACCAACTGCAGTGGTGGGATTTGAACCCACATCCACAGAAGCAGCGGAGTGGCCTCTGGATTATAAACCCAAGTGACCTCGTCACCTCACAGCCTCTCACATTTTGCTTTTATATCCAGCACCCACAAAGAAACATTTGCTTAAATATCTGTGGTGATGTTACCAAACAAGGGCTCTTTGAGAAGATTCACTGATGATGAGAGGGTGTGGTGTCCATGTCATTAGAGGCACAATAGAGAGTGACCTACCTGTGAATGGTGTTGCAGTTCCCTTACACAGCAAGATCCAAACCAGCTCACCCAACAATACTTTATCTAAATCAGCACATTCGTGTTAATCACTCTCCCTTTTGGCAGTATCCCTTTCTCTAAAGGAATGCTGCCGTTATTCATAATTATGGGATGGATTTTAAGACAGAACCTGTGCTGTGAATAAATGTGTGATGGTAACTGAGGTAGCAGCTTAGCAAAGCAATTACTTAGAGATTGTACTACTTTTCCATATGGTGATTTTCTACCCTTCATTTCATACTGGAAACTTTTATTATCCTGTGTAGACTCACAAGATTCATCTTGTACTGTGAACTGGCAATATCAGTGATTAATGTGTCTGATATATTATCCCTCAATATTCCAATATCCCAAGTTGGCCGCGAGATGGATTTGAAACAAATGTCTGAGAAAAGGGTTTTCGGGTAGGCCGGTTGTGAGTTCAGTCTGAAATGTGGTTTATTCCCACAAAAGACTTCACCTTATTTTCCAGCAGCTTGTAACATAAATTACTTCAATGCACACCGGCTTTCTTATGTGAGGGAAGGTGAGAGCAGTCAGTTTTAACAGTGGAAAAAAATGATTCACTGGATCGACCAGGAATTTAAAATAAAAAGGCATTATTGCTTTCCATTACTGTGAAAGTGAACTACGACAAGGGCATTTCTAAACCCACACCCCTCAAAATTATTTAAACATAGGCTAACAAAGGTTTAATTTATTTTGGGGGAAATAGTTTAGCAAGAAATCAGAAAGCACACACTGTCCCATTGTTAAAAGTATTTGAGAATGGTTCACCTACCTCTTCTTACTATCTCTCTTTGCTGATTTTTCCAAAAGTACCCTGCGCCTTAAATAATCGCTCTGAAACTCACTGGATTTCGCCGTGTGTTCTTTGATCAAGTCAGTGGTTTTCTTGTGGTGTTTCTTCACCAGTTCCTTCATTTCTTTGTAGTGCTTCTTCTGAAGTTTCACAAATGCTTTTTGCTGCCTTAGCTCTTCCACGGTCTGGGCTTCCACCTCTGCAGCAGTTTACAGAAACCAATTGATCACATTAAACGGCTTTGCTTTCTCCCTCCTGATATTAGTAAACGCCTAGGGTATTAGCTCAGAGCGCCACACAACATCATGACGCATCCTCAATGGATTGGCTACAATGATAAGAACTAACAGGTGGACATGAACATTTGAGTGGGAATTTTGTTGCAGGGCTGTGAGGGAAGAGGACAGAATTAATTGAAGGCTCTTCCGAATGGTCAACACAGACATGATGGGCTGAATGGCATAACTCCATTCTTTCCACGAATCTCTTAGATTAATTTGACTCGTCCTTAAAAATGACTAACACAGTTAAATTTGGAAAGATCAAGATTAGAATCTGCCTTTAAGAGAAGTCATCGGATTTTCCAGAACAGAAAGAAATCATTCAGTCCATTGGAACAGTGCTGGCTCTACAAAAGATGGTGATGAAAGGGCTAAAGGGTTAAGACCTAAAGGGGTCTGACAAAGTCGATGGTGGTTCCTCATGTAGGGCAATCCAGAACAAAAAGTTGTAGTTCTAGGATAAGAGGTAGCAGATTTAAAAGGACACAAAAGAGATGAGGAGAAATGACTTTGCCCAAAAGGTTGTGAATCTGTGGAATTCACTCCCCCAGAGTGTGGTAGATGCTGATACATCGAGTAAACTTAGGGAGGGACAGGCAAATTTTTAATTCGTGAGGGGTTGAAGGGTTATGGGGAGTGGTCAGGAAAGTGGAGCTGAAGCCAAGATGAGATCAATCATGATCATATCAAATGGCAGAGCAAGTTTGAGGGGCTGAATGGCCTACCCCTGTTCCTGGTTCTCACGCACTCACGTTAAAAACGGACTGTGCACTTGGCATGAAGTTAGCACACCATGAACTAATTTTGGTTTTAGGCATTTTGCATTCTGCTCCTAAGTCTGATGTATACATCTGAGCAGCCTTTAGGTATTTTGGAAGCCTGGCAATTTTATTGCAATCTGAATCAGCTCTTTGAAACTCCGCTCAGCGTAATATTTCAGTTTTACAAAACTAAAGTTCAACTGTGAGATTCCAACAGGCAGAAAACTGTTCTCCCCCGTCTCACTGTATCCTAATGACTTTAAACAAGAGTCGGGAGCTTTGAAATGACACTGAGCGACAAATAAGTGTGTTTTTCAGATTCCTTTGCCTGCTCGTTTAACAGAGATACAAACCAAGGGAATACATACACAGTTGAAACAACAAATGATGCACAAATGTATTTGAATGATAAAGGCACACCATGATTCAGTTTACGAGTTAAATGAAGACTGTTGTATGACCACTAAGAAAGGAAGCGTTTATTTTGTTCTTTCGGTTTTTATTTACTTTGTTCGTTCTGCAGAAACTGAGATGAAGAAGTATTTGATAAAACTTTTCTCATTCATTTATAAGCAAACGATGTGATGTAAATTGTATAGATGTCATTAACATTCCTCATGTGTGCACGTTCACTGGAATAAAAATATTAGACATAATGTGTCTTTTCCTCCTTTGAAACAAAATATATTTTCTACATCATTTTTCAGCAACTATTCCAAATAGTGGTTTCTCCGGCACAGATTATTAAAATCATAGCAATTTTATCATACACAATTGTCAAGTGACTAATAATTCATGTAACAACCATATATTTGTAAATAGCAAGGTCTGAATTTTTTCAGTGCATCTACGCTGTCCTGTCTGCTTCTGTGTAAACTTGGATATACATAAGCTTAATTTTTAAACCAAATAGTCCCTCTAACCAAGATACTGTGAATATATTTCATTCTGAATTCATTTCCATATTTTCCTACATTTTAACATCTGGCGTGAGGGTGATTTGAGGCCCGTGTGTCATGCAGAATTTTTTAACATCTTACCTGACAGTATACTGTGAATGAGATCTTCTGCCTTACCAGCTGTTTTGACTGCAGCTAATGCACAACATACAAAGAAAAATGTCAATTAATAGAAAGGCTTATGTCCTCACATCTAATTTTTAATGAAAATTCTGTCAGAAGGAGAAACTCACTTACCTGGTGCAGGCTGAACATGGGTGACTTGTGTTGAGGGTTTGGATGTTTGACTGGATGTGTGACTGACACCATTCTCTGCTGGAGCTGTCTTGGGATCATTGTTAGGCTCTGTGGGAATGTCACCGGGTTCCACCTGAGGGATGGACAAGAACAGCTTACTGATTCACTCTTAGGAATTAAGAGATCCATCAGCTCCAATGAATACAACGACTGCTGTACATCAACATTGCTTGCTTTGAACAAAAGCCCCTCCGAGTTGCAGATCAATGGCCCGGTTTACTGACCCAAATTCAAAAACAAGATTCCTATGATTGTTGCTGCACAACACCGATGTGAGACAATATCCAGATATATATGCATGAAGTTGGAACAAGTTTTTTTTTAAAAGCCCCTCAAACGAAGCAGTCATTACTGCCAAAAACATTCTAAGGAAACCAGTACCTTAGTTCCACAAATTGAGTAAACAAGAGTATGATGTCCAATTTTTCGATACATATTTTCAACATTCTAGTCCAGTCCTCTCCTTCACTGGCTCTGATTGTGGTTTGATGCAGTCGACATCTGATTATTGCTGTGAATCTGCAGTCGCTCTCTTTATTCTCTCTCTCTCTCTCTCTCACGCACACACACACACTCACTTTAATTTAAACTCCTACACTCTCTGCAGGCAACTCAGACTCTGTGATGGCCAAACTCTGATGACCAGTTGCCATGGCGCCAGATTGAGTGGTCCTCTGTGCTTCTGGTTGGATTTTGTTCTCCAGGTAGTTTTCCTTTCACTCCTCGGTGGTAATTATAGCCAATCAGAAGGGAAATAAAGCTCTTTCATAGCATTACTCAGTCCCACTAGCGTGAGGACTTGCGCTGAAATTATATGGACGGGAACGGTTGAGGGAAATTTGTCATTTTATGATTCATGACTGAATGATTAATTATATATTTACCAGCGATTAGCGGCAATGCCATTTTTATGTGGTTTGAAAAGAGAATAGGGCAGTGAGAGACTTTTATTTTCCAGACCCTTTTTTTTTCTGTGAGGTCTATCTTTCTTTTATATATAAATTCAGCGGTACCAAGGACAAAGAAATATCAGCTGAGAACAAGAACGTAATTTAATGACTGTTATGTTTTAAAAGCTTGTCTTTCCCAGGAATGTACAACCGTTTAAACATTGTTTTTTGTTAAAAATTGCGTCACTCTTTCCTCTCTCAGCTGTTCAAAAGTCTTATGTGAAATAGACTCGTAGAGATATACAGCAAGGAAACAGACCCTTCAGTCCAACTCTTCGATACCAACCAGATATCCTAAATTAGTCGAGTCCCACTTGCCAGCATTTGGCCCATATCCCTCCAAATCCTTTCTATTTATGTACTCATCCAGATGCCTTTTAAATATTGTCATTGTACCAGCCTCCACCACTTCCTCTGGCAGCTCATTCCATACACGTGCCACCCTCTGTATGAAAAAGTTGCCCCTTAGGTCCCTTTTAAATCTTTCCCCTCTCACTTAAAACCTATGCCCTCGAGTTCTGGACTCCCCTACCCTGGGGAAAAGAACTTTGCTATTCACCCTCTCCATGCCCCTCATGATTTTATAAACTTCTGTAAGGTCACCCCTCAGTCTCCGCCATACCAGGAAAAACAGCCGCCACCTGTTCAGTCTCTCCCTTTAGCTCAAACCCTCCAATCCTGGCAATGTCCTTGTAAATCTTTTCTGCATCCTTTCACGTTTAACAACATCTCCTACAGCAGGGAGACCAGAACTGAACACAACACTCCAAAAGTGACCTAATCAACATCCTGTACAGTCACAACATCACCACCCAATTCCTATTCTCAATGCACTGATGAATAAAGGCAGGTGTACCAAATACCTTCTTCACTATCCCGCCTACCTGTGACTTACTTCTTTATTGTTTGGAAGTCACTGTTGAAGCGGTGATATGAGTTACATTTATAAATTAAGAGCTGAGAGGCAACTTCTTTTTGTTTGTTATTCAAACAGATGGTGTGGGTGTGCGAGGCCAGCATTTATTGCCTCTTCCCTCATAACCCTTCAGGAGACATCTCTTACAAATACTAATTTATCAGCCTTGTGTGGAAAGCCAAAGTGTATATATGGGACTGTGAGCCCCGCAAAGGCTTTAGGAAGTATCTTCCTCATTTTGTCACCATCCTTCAGCCACTCACAGACAATCATCTCATCAATGCAGTAAGCACCAACGCGAACATTTGTTCACTTGTGAGACATGGCTGGGTCAGCATTTATTGCCCATCCTGCCCTCAAGAAAGTGGTGGTGAGCTGCCTTCTTGAACTTCTGTAGTCCATGTGCTAATTGGTCAACCCACAATGCCCTCATGGAGGGCATTCCAGGATTTTGACCCAGTGACACCAAAGGAATGATGATCATAGATCATAGAATCCCTACAGTGTGGAAACAGGCCCTTCAGCCCAACAAGTCCACACCGAAACTCAGAGCATCCCTCCCAGACACATCCCCCTATAACCCACCTCATCTACACCTCCCTGAACACTACAGGCAATTTAGCATGGCCAATCCACCCTAACCTGCACATCTTTGGACTGTGGAAGGAAACCGGAGCACCCAGAGGAAACCCACGCAGACACGGGGAGAATGTGCAAACTCCACACAGATAGTCGCCCGAGGTGGGAATTGAACCCGGGTCCCTGGTGCTGTGAGGCAGCAGTGCTAACCACTGTGCCACCGTGCCGCCCAAATTATATTCCCAAGTCTGTATGGTGAGTAGCTTGGAGGGGAACCTGCAGATGATAGTGTTCCCATGTATCTGCTGACCTTGCCCTTGTGTGGTGGTGTGTTTGGGAGGTGCTGTCTAAGGGGCCTTGGTGAACTTCAGCAGTGCATCTTGTAGATGGTACACAACTGAGCGTCGGTGGTGGAGGGAGTGAATGTTTGTGGATGTGGTGCCAATCAAGCAGGCTGATTTGTCCTGGATGGTGTCAAACTTCTTGGAGCTGCACCCATCCAGGCAAGTGGGGAGTATTCCATCACACTCCTGACTTGTGCCTTGTAGGCAGGCTTTGGGGAGTCAGGAGGTGAGTTACTCGCTGCAACATTCCCAACTTTTCTTGCTCTTGTAAACACTATATTTTTCTACCTGGTCTATTTCATTTTCTGGTTAGCGACAACTCCAAGGGAATTGATACTGAGGGATTCAGCGATGGTAACCCCATTGAATGTCAAGGGGCCATGGTCAGAATCTCTCTGATTGGGGATCTCAATGAAGATGAGAATTGAGCAAGACTGTGTCATAACCTTATTTATCTTCTTTGCTGCAATAGGAATTGGGAGGTCATGTTGTGGCTGTACACTTTTGGAATGCTGTGTGCAATTTTGGTCACCCTGCTGTAGGAGATGTTGTTAAGCTTGAAAGGGTGCAGAAAAGATTTACAAGGATGTTGCCAGTGCATCAACAAACTGCATTTTGACACTGAGACCATCTATAGAACAGACTGAAAACTGTTTGACCTTTACCACCTTCACTCCAAGCCGAGTCTCTGTCAATCGCTTCTCAAAGCCGATGAGAAACTGGAGCTTTCCCTGAACACATAGAAAACTCAGGATCGCTTTAACCAGCTGCCGTACCACATTACCTTCCTCTGCCCTCCCCCTATGCCCGCACCCATCCATTAAGGTCGACCATGTGACCCTAGAAAATATGAAACGTTTTCCACGTTGTGGGAGGCCTCTTTCAACGAAGAAACACAGAGATGGGGAAATTCACCATCACTTCTATTGTGCAAGACCATCCTGCTGCTGACTGAGTATTTGATAATCAGGATCCCAAAGCTGAGGTTGATGTCATGTCTAACTGGGCAGCAGAGATCCCCAAGCACCTTCACTCAGTGGAGACTTGGGCAACCTACAGCAGTCACCTCACAGCATTGAGGGTATCACCAGTGATACCACCCACAACATCTTCCAAATCCAGTGGCAGCAATGTGGGCCTAAGAGCCAGCATCCTTTCCCAAGCAAATACACCCAGCAGCGAGGTTGACGTAACTCAAAACCAGCTCTGCTAGACAGGGCATGTCATTCAGGTGCCAACCACTCTACTCGGGACTCGGTTGTGGCTAAGGAGCCCCAGCGGGACAACGGAAATGCTTTTGGGATGTTCGCAAAGCATTGCTGAAAGAATGAGACACCACCAACATGGGGGTTCCTAGCACGTGGCATGCTGAAGTAGCGAAGGTTCATTCAGGAAGGCACCAACTGAGCATGTTGCAGACTTTGTAAGCAACATGCAGTGGCAAAGTTGAGGCATGGGAACCGCCAAATACCACGTTAGCTCAATCCTTCAAGCACCATTCCACCTCCTACATGTGGCAGCTCACAAAGCAGGTTTTGAGCCACACAGGGCCCATTGAATTGAACAGAAGCAACTCATTCTCGATCCTGGAGGACTGCCTAAGGAGAAATTGTGCTTAAAAACATGAGGGCAAATTCACTGACCCTGTTTCTCCACCAAGAAATGGGTTGCAGAGTCAGTGCTACAACGTTGTACCCTTGTCTCTGCCCAGTGTTCTTCTGTGAGCTCACTGTCTCTTAGTGGGTGTCGGGTTGCCAATGTTTTTGTCTCTAAAGTATGTACAAAAAATATCATAAGCCTCATTTCTTTTGGGGTACAATGTTCTGCCACTGCTGTGAGGCAGTTTCCTCTCTGGCACAAGTTAGAACAGGGGTTTAACTCTGGAGGCAGGTCCTAACCTACCTCCGCAGGTGGACTTTAGGATTTGTGGGTGGAGAGAGAAACCATTGAGTCTGAGCAAAAATACAGAACAAAGGCTATGCTCGTGGATCCCTGTGGTTGAGAGCTTTCCTGGATCAGATCAAGCAGAAAAGTTTTAGACTTTTGAAGTAATTTATGTTAAAAAGATGTAACATGTTGTAATGATCTGGAATGCATTGTCTAACAGGAGGGTAGCAGTAAGTTCAACAGAAGTAAAGACAATTGGATAAATATTTGAAAAGAGAAGGTTTCAGGTGTTATGGAGTTCAAGCAAGAGATGAATCAGATAGCTGTTAAAAGCATGATGGGCTGAATGGCCTCTTTGTGCACTTTATGATTTTATCTTGTGACCTGAGATACCCTG